AGATGGAGACGAAAAAGAAAAACAAAAACTTAGGATCATATTCGCTGTGTATAATTGTTCGCGATTTCAATATGGAATTGAGTATCACCAATGAGAATACAATTGTATGTTTGTGCTGTTACATTTTATATCAAATTCTGGTTGTATATAAATATCCTACATTTTATCTACAAATAAACTATATATATATATATATATATATATATATATATATTAGTATGANAAATACAATTTTTTTACAATGTTGTTCAACTTTCGTACAATAGTTAAATGAATAAAAGAAAAATAAATAAACAACATAATACAATTTTTCTACAATTTATGCAATATAATGTATGTCATGTCTTCTTCTTCTTCTTCTTCTTCGAGTTTCAATCTGAATTTCAGCCAAAATCAAGTCTAGTCTTCACCAAAACCTCTCAAAATTGAGATATAAACTCCAAACCGTATTCCCAATTATTTGCAACAACACCCAATCCCAACAAATAATGATTTTTGAAAACACAAATTCGAATTCAAAGCTTCAAAGCTTTTTAATGGTTGTCAATGGTGGAATTGCTACTCTCTTTTCCTTTCCTCTTATATTACTAAATTTGGGATTGAGAGATAGAGAGAGACGTAGAGAGAATTCTCAATTATTTGCAACAACATACAATCCAAACAAACAATGTCTTTTGAAAACTCAAATTCGAATTCAAAAATTTAAAGCTTTTTAATGGTTGTCAATGGTGGAGGGGCTACAGATTTTCGCTAGTTTTAGAAAAGGAAATTGTGGGTGATTGAAGAGGAAATCGTGGGGTGTGGTTTGATATGTGAGCGGGGTGGTGGGATTTGGAGAGAGAAACTTGGGGGAGTGAGAATATACGGTTGGGTAAAATTAGGAGACTAATTAATACCATTAAAATTCTAAAATGGTATATAAATGGTAATTATATATATAGAAGGTAATTATAATAATAAAAGTTAAGTATGAAGGGTAATATAATTTATTACATGGCACATGAATTAAAAAAAAATGTTTTACTATACACATATATTTATGGTTTGAAGAATGGTGGATGTAATCATTATTCGTCTCTAAGATGTCAGAACTGCACATGCTTAATGATTCTATATAAAGATGGTTCCGATACAAATTTCAGTTGCTGTTCTTTTTTTCTTTTTGCTGAAAAAGATCTCAGTTGTTGATAAATTTGTTTAATTGTTTATCTACCTTACTAATTACAAATTACAATAGTAGGAATTAGTATATTTCAAATGCTGAACTAGTTATTTGTAATTAGCATATTGATTAGAAAGTTTGAGTTTGACGAAAAATATTATTGGAACTTCCATCAAAATATTGAAATATTGGTTTGACCGTGTATCTCACGTAGAAAGTGCGAATCAATTGATATAAATTGGCATCGTGAAAATTAATTAGTCGTTGCATGACGAGATTCCATGTCCTTTAAGATGCTAAAATTGTAAATTACGCAGGGCCCTTCCCAATTAATATCCAACATCTAAACAAGAATAATTTTGATTATGTAGTTTAGGATATATTAACTACTCTTGGTGACGGCTTCAATCTTGTCGTGAATCCGGACGTTGATTTTAATAATCTAAAAATAGTTTGTACATGTTTAGAAGTTACGTATGAATACCTATAGTAAGTGACGATGTATATTTTGGCTATTCAATAATGTTCACTCTCTAATATTTTCAATTAGTAAATATGAAATATTATGGCTTATTACTTTTGAGTTAGTCTCAATTTTCATATCTCTATAGATGAATAGAATTTTAATCATTCATTTCTTAAAGAACTTTGAGAGCCAACAATGCTAATTAGAAAATTTATGCTTGATTTGCACTAGGAAATAGCTATTAGGCGAGCTTTGACCGGTTAGTATTAGGCGTGTTTCGTATGCACGGTCAGACGCTTGGGGCATAAGTCTCACAGAACTAAGCCCCACAAGCGAGCCACAAGGCGTTTTGATAGTGCCTCGCGCTGCGAAGCGAGTCTTAAGAAAGCCTTTTAAAACATTAATTTGAATAATTCATCCCAACATAAATCCCGCATTAGGTAATATCATGTTAGATTGGGTGTATATGATTAAGAAAATCTATCATCGCATTATTAATGCAACTTTTTGTGGGCTACATTAACTAATAATCTATATCTATATCTATCTATATACTATATTAAAAGTACAAAGGCCCTTAGCGAAATATTGTTCGCCTTTTTTACCCTCTAAAAATAGATTTCATATTGGACAAATTGTAATTTAAATTATTTTCCTAATATTTAGGACCTTAAAATCAATAAAATTTTAGTTTAAATTTTTTTCTTTTTTTAAATATTTATAGAGTCCTAATATTTAGGACTTTAAAATCGATTAAGATTTACCTTACCAAAATTGTTTTCCTAATTAAAGTATGTAACACATTTATAATTAGTAATACCAACATTAGAATTTTTTTAAGGCTAAACATTAACTACCACTACTTGTCAAGAAGACACGTAGAAGGAGTTAATAGGCATAAACTTTTTTGAAAATTAAGTATAATTTGTTTATGTTTTTTTCTTAATATTTAGTATCTTAAGATCAACTAAAATTTTATTTATTAAATTTATCCTCTTTATTTGAACTAAGTCCTTATATTTAGGATTTTGATATCAACTAAACTTTATCTTATATAAAATATCTATATCTATCTATATGTTATATACTATATTAAAAGCACGAATCCCCTTAGCGGAATGTCGTTCGCCTTTTTACTCTTTAAAAAATATTTTTTTTTTTAGTAATTCAAATATTATTAATTCTCAAAGTAACAAATTACAAAGTATAAGGCTAACTCAGCCAATATGAATCACTGCTATGCATCTCTTCTATAACCCCCCNCTCCTCCTATATGAACTTGTATTGTAATACATCTTTGAGTTTACCTACAGCTCTAATGTTAAAAATGTAGATAATTTCTCTAACAATGCTTTGCCTGTCCCTATGAATCTTCTCAAAAACTCTATGATTTCTCTCCACCCATATGCTATATAATGTTTCAGCTAGTATCATTCTCAGCAGCTGCCCTTCAGTTGATTTCTTCTTTGCTTTTTCCACAAGCCAGCATAGTAATTGTCTCCATGTATTTGCTGGCACTTGTATTTGCATCCATTTGAATATGTCACTCCATATTTCCATGATGGCAGTACAATTATAGAATAAGTGGTGGTGATTCTCTGGTTGACATTTACAGAATACACATGTAGTATCCACAGTCATGCTCCATTTACTCAGTCTGTCAGTAGTCAGCATTCTTTCCTGAATGATCAGCCACATATAAAATACTGCTTTGGGTCTAGTTAAGTTTCTGAACATAATTGCTTTCTATTCTACCTTTTCTAGTCTTCCCAGCTGTTGCAAATATATCTGCTTGATGACACTGCCTTTGCTTCCTTGCCTTTGTATCTGTGGACTTGTCCCTTTAATAGTCAAGATCTTTTGTACCATCCAGCTTGCTTGTTTAGCCTCTTTGATGCTCGATATAGGCTGCCCCTTTATATGGTACATATGCACCCATTTAATCCACAGTCTGTCAGTTTTTGATGTTAGATCCCATTGCAATTTGAGAATGGCTGCTCTGTTCCATTGTTTAAGATTTAGGATATTTAAACCTCCTGCACTCTTTGGTTTGCATACCTTCTCCCAAGAAATCAAGGCTCGTTTGTTTATTTCATTAGTCCCCGACCATATAAAGCTCCTGCAATAAGCTTCAATAGTTTTGATCACCTTGACTGGAATTAGAAACATTTGTGACCAATAAGATTGAATTCCAAATAGCACTACTCTTATAAGTTGAATTCTTCCAGCATATGACAGTTTCCTTGCAGTCCAAGATGAAATTCTTGCTACAATTTTGTCAATCAAAGGTTGCCATTGAGTCACCTTCATTTTCTTAGTAGTTAGTGGAACTCCTAGGTATTTGAATGGTAATTCACCTCTTATGTACCCCAGTTGCTGAAGTATGGCTTCCTGTTCTGTATCAGTTACCCCTCCAAAGTACACTGAACTCTTGCTTAGGTTAGCTTGAAGACCAGAGGCTGCAGAAAATTGATCAAAACACTGCTTTATCATTGCCACAGATTGTTTATCCTCCCTAGCAAATAATAATAGGTCATCTACAAAGCTCAAATGAGTGATGCCTAGCTTCTTGCATTTTGGATGGAAGTGGAATTGCTTTTTGTCCTTCAACTCTGCCAGTAGTCTACTTAGATATTCCATAGATAGAGCAAACAAGAAATATGACATTGGGTCACCCTGTCTAAGTCCTTTTGCAGCAGGAAAGGGCTCAGCTAATTCTCCATTAATCAAAATAGAATAGCTCACACTTTGGATACAAGCTGTTACCCATTGTGTGAACTTGTGAGGAAATCCTAATCCTTCCATAATTTGTAGCACATAACTCCATTCAACACTATCATATGCTTTTTGCAAGTCTACTTTAATCATGCATCTAAGAGATATATGTTTCCTTGAATAAGCTCTAATCAGTTCATGAGCTAATATAGTGTTGTCTGCTCCTTTCCTTCCAGGTATAAAACCAGCTTGTGCCTCATCAATTAGGAAGCTCATAACTTTCTGCAGCCTTGATGCTAAGAGTTTAGCAATGATCTTAAATAACACTGAGCAACAGGATATAGGTCTATAGTCTTTGATAGCAGCAGGGTTGGGGATTTTGGATAATAAAGTGACAGTTGTACAGTTAATGACCCTGGGCATTTTACCTGTTTCAAAGAACTCTATTACAGCATCATAGATATCCACCTTCATTATCTCTCATGCTTTTTTGAAAAACACTGCATTGTACCCATCAATCCTAGGTGCTTTATCATTTCCAATAGCATGTAGAAAGTCATCAATTTCCTGTCTAGTTATATCTTTAATCAATTCCACAGTTTGCTAGTGATTCAGTTGAGGTCCCTTCTTCATTGTTTGCATATTGACAATAGGTAACTAATTAGCAGCAGTCCCCATAAGAGATTTGTAAAACGCTACAATCTCCCTCTTAATACTCTTAGGCTCTGTCAGGATTGTACCATTCAATGCTGTTAAGGTTGTAATGTTTTTCCTGCATGCTCTTTCTTTCATCACTGCAAATAAGTACTTGTTGTTTCCATCACCTGTTTTGATCCATTGGGCTCTTGATTTTTGCTGAAATATCTTTTCTTCAATGAGTGACCATTTTTCTAGTTTATCTCTAGCTTCCTTCTCCATCATCCTTAGTTGATGTGTGTATCCTTTCTTCATCTCTTGCTGACATTCAATTATATCCCTTCTTGCTTGTTCAATTTTCATTGTTGCATTCCTAAAATTCTTGTTATTCAAATTCTTAAAGTCTGCTTGCATAGCTTTCAATCTGTTCCAGATGGTTGCTAGCTTGCAATATTGTTGCTTCCCTTGCCATCCCTTAGTAACTATACTTTGGAATGCCTCATGATTAGCCCAAATATTCAAGAATCTAAAGGGTATTTAATACAACTATTTCTTCCTTCAAATCTCAGAGATAAAAGAGAATGATCTGAAATAAATGGATCTCTAATTTCCATTGTTAGATGCCCAAACTTCATCATCCATTCACCATTTCCCAAGGCTCTATCAATTTTACTAATTACTCTATCCACTCCCATTTGACCATTTGTCCATGTGAAGTAATCTCCCCTCCAAGGAATTCCAGTAGTCATGGTATCAGAATAAAAATCTGCAAAATCTTGAATATCAGCCATTGTTACTTCATGCCTTGATACTCTATCTTGAATAGACATGACTGCATTGAAGTCCCCCCATATGAGCCATGGTTGATTTATAGACTGAGCCAGCATCCTAAGTTTTTGCCACATTCCTTTTCTCATGTCTACACTGTTGTATCCATATATCATAGTCATAGCACAACAGATATTAGTGCTAATAATATTACAGTGTATAAACTGAGCATCCGTTAGTACTACATCCACCTGCCAAATGTTCTTGTCAAACATGATCCATATTCTACCATTAGCTGCTTGATCATAATTGTGCACCAATTCCCAATGTTATGCTATCTTAGGGGCAATTACAGAAGCTTTATGATGCTTAATTCTGGTTTCCACTAATCCAGCTAGAGATATATGTTTGTCTTTGATGTATTTAGCTAACTCCTTCGTTTGTATCTTTGATTTGCTCCCCTTACATTCCACATAAGCATTGTCATTTGGATTGTTCATTTGTACCACCTCTATCTAGTGGTTGTTTATCCTCTTGTCTTCATGCTAGAATTCCAAATGCATTTTGTGTGGCCACTGAAAAATCCATACCAGTCACTGCATTTCTAGAACTAGTAGCACTAGCTTTTTTCCCCTTCAAACTAATCTCTTTCCCATTCATCTGAGTAGGCTCCTGTGTTTCTGTCAATACTCCCCCATTCTTGATGCTAGGAGATTTGTTTTGTTCCATAACCTGTATTATTTCCTTACTTTTACTCATAGTATGTTCAGCAGCTTTCTGTGCCACATTTATGTTCTGTGTTATCAGCCCCTTACTTCTCCACTCTTTAGCTGGCTGTTGTGCTCTCCCATTTTTTTATTTTTTTTTTGCATTTTTTGTTGTTTTCCCTATACTTCCTCATTTCGTTTGCAAATATGCCCCATTTGTTGGCAATCTGGACAGAAATCAGGCTGCCATTCAAACCTTACCACCTGCTGGTGTATCTTCCCTGACGGATCCTTTATTTTGACTTCATTTGGCAATGTTAGTTATGCTTACTTCAATCGGCATCCTGGCAAATGATATTCTCGATTGCTTTGCCATACATTCATCTGCAAATAGAGGAACTCCTATTATACTTCCCAACCTACTTAGAGAATCCTTACTCCAGTATGTCACAGGTAAAGTGGGGAAAGAGACCCATAGAGGCATCTCTTTAAGGAATGTTGCATCAAATTCAACATCAGAAGACCATCTCTTCAGGATTATTGGTCTGTTGCTAATCGTGTAAGGTCCTCCATATAGAACTTCCTCCAAATCTTCTTCCTCTTTGAATTTTGCAATGTAGTATCCCCTGGCATGCCAAAATAATATGATTGTACCCAGGGATTTCACCAATAACAGCAACAATCAGAGAATGTTTCCACTTATCAGGTTCCTTCGCCGTCTCCGTTGGATCTAATTGAATAACTACACTTCCATCCACTATCGTCGGTGGAATGTAAGATAGAACAAGGCCATTAGATGTCATTCGATTACTAGCAAACAAATTTGCCCACACCGGGAGCTACTAGATCCTAATTAGCTTCCAATTTCTGTGAATTTTCATTTGCATGTACAATTGATTGAGCTTTTTCTATGATCGTAACATTCGAAGATGACGGCGCACAATCATTCTGAATTTTACTCTTTCTATTATCAACCTTACTCATTCTATTGTCCTCAACTACTTTTAAATTTTTAGAATTATTCACAGTAGAGATGTTACCACTCGTTTCTGCCATTGATGCTATCGCCGGTGTCGTCATTTGTGATTTCTGTGAGAATACTGGTTTTGATGGAGATGAATTCGATGTTAGGGAGCTTCCTAGAACTAGGATCGATGTCTTCCTTGGTCTTCCTAGTCCATTACACTTGCCCCTCGCCATTGACAACCGCTTTCCCCACCAAACGTAACCGCCGCTTGGTGAAGATCGTCAATGGAGAAAGATGTAGAGTCTCCTAATATTAAAGTTATAAGTTATATAAATTTATTTCTTAAATTCCTAAACATTAAAGGTTAATGTTATATACTACCATAAGCACATTAGGATGAGTAAAAAAATATCTTTAAATAAACGACATGCTTACATTTAAAAATAATAATAATTCATAGTAATAATATATAGCATACTTTAATTTTTTTTATTTATATATTGTAATATATGGCCATATTAAATCACAAACTCAATTACAATATTTGACAAGAAAAACATAATAAGATACTTAAATTTATATATTAAAATTAGCAGTAAACTGTACTGTAATTTATAAGATTGTTTAAATTATTACTTTCTATATTTTTTTTGGAATCTATGCTTATTTAAGTAATATAGGAAGTCAAATAATATTGTTCATGTGCTTTTTTAAAGTTTATTCTCGTCTATAAGGATTCACACGTAACGCACGTACTTCAAAACTAGTGGTACTTAAAGGCCAAAACGGCTTTTTAAAGAAAGTAACTTTATACTTCTTTCGTTCAATTTTACTTGTTCACTATTCTAAAAAGGCAAAATACCTTATCACCTCCCTAAGCTTGTCACGGATTATTAGTTACAACGTTAAACTATTCGTGATCTTAATTACCCCCCTCAACTAGGCCTTTTGAGAACCATTACACCCTTAGACGCTGATGCGGCAAATTGTGTGGGTGCACTCGCTTGCCACGTGAATTTTTCTGTATATGTGACATTTTTTTGAAAAATCAAATATATTTTTACCTTTTTAAATATTTTACTTTTTTATATAATTTTTTCGAATAAATTTATAATAAAACTTGGATATAACTACATTATTTAGGCTAAAAAATTTTATTTGGCTAAATATAATAAAGTTTTGTTAATCTTTTTTTGAATTTGACCTGAAAAATAAAGATTTATACAATTGAAATAAATAATCAATGCATCTAAACAGTTATAAAAATACATAGTTTGAAATTAATTATTTTGGCTATAATTTTTTATATAGCTCTAACTTATGGTGCTCTAAAAATATACTTTTTACATATTTTACCTGAAAAGGTAAAAATACACAGTTGAAATAAATAGTCATTGTATCAAAAGAAGAAATAAAAAGAGTGAACAATTGCAAGAAATTACTTATTATTTCTAACATACTTATTGTTCTAGAAAATACTTATTGTAGAAATGCAGGGTAAGGCTGCGTACGATAGACCCTTGTGGTCCGACTCTTCCACAGACCCCGCGCATAGCGGGAGCTTAGTGCACCGTGCTGCCTTTTTTTTATTTCTCTAAAAATGTATCCATAAAGTAAGTTATTTTTTGCAATTGTACATTCTTTTTATTTCTTCTTTTGATACAATGACTATTTATTTCAACTGTGTATTTTTACTATTTTCAGGTAAAATATATATATATATATATATATATATATATATATATTTAGAGCACCATAACTTAGAGCTATATAAAAAATTATAGCCAAAATAATTAATTTCAAACTATGTATTTTTATAACTTTTTAGATGAATTGACTATTTATTTCAATTGTATAAATCTTTATTTTCAGGTCAAATTCAAAAAAAGATTAACTAAAACTTTATTATTTTTAGCCAAATAAAAAAATTTAGCCTAAATAATGTAGTTATATCCAAGTTTTATTATATATTGTATTCGAAAAAAATTATATAAAAAAGTAACATACTTAAAAAGGAAAAAAATATATTTTATTTTTCAAAAAAATGCCAAATATACAGGAAAATCCACGTGGCAGGCAAATTTACCCACACAATTTGCCACATCAGAGTCCAGGAAAAGGCCTAGTTGAAGGGATAATTAAGACCACGAATAGTTTAAGGCTGTAACTAATAATGCGTGGCAAGAGGGAGGTAATGTATTTTGCCTTCTAAAAATAGATTTTCATTTTTACTTGTTCATTTTTGCGTATCAAGAGAAAAATAATTTATTTTTCCTATTTTGCCCTTAGCATTAATTACTTATTTCAAATCAATTAAGATTGTACGCCAATTAATATTTCCTATTTCCTATTTTCTATTTGGCCAATTAATACGGGTATTATGATAAATTATGTATTTTATCTATTATTTTTTAAGAAACGTACAAAGTCGAAAATCTCCTCGTTATTAATCACTGCCCAATCCTTTTGTTACTAATCTATCCAAAAAGTTCTTTATCGTAATCCTAGTTATGTTTAAGCGAGAACCAAATTAGCCCTTACTAACAGCTGAAGATTAGTGAAGCTGATGAGAGAATCAAGTCGAGATTGTGTTAGGCCAAAAGTACAAACAGTAAGGCGTCATTTATCACATGCAATGTGACCTAAACAATCGCATAAAGTATCGACAGAGACCTTTCCACCTACTCTGAATTTTCAATTCCTTTAAGCGGGTGCGAGCTACATGCTCCATGGAACTATATATGTACTCTATTAATCACCGAAAAATTCTGAAGAAGAGAAGGACGACTACGAAAGGGAATTAAATTAAATGGGCAATAACAGAGATCCATTGTTGCATAAGCGAGAAGAAGAAAAATATGAGTCTTTTGAGGATTGTCCTGGTTGTAAAGTTGATCTGCTTAAACGCTCCGATTCCAGCCTCCCTGTTAAGGCCGTCTTCTACATCTCCATCGTCACTTTATGCGCTGGTCAGCTCTCTCTCTCTCTCTCTAGAACTTATGATTTTTTTTTTCTTTTTAAATTTGAAGGGATTTAATATTTGATGTTTGCCTGGTCATTTTCTTGCTAAAAATTGATGACTTGAAAATTCTTATCATGAAAAGTGCTTATAGTTTGGAGTACTAATCAAGTAAATAGCTACATTTGTTGAGAATTTGGGGGAAGTCAGAGGGTTCTTCTTCTTTTTTTTTTCTCGAAGTTCTTTTATTGGATTACTTTATTTTTGCTAATAAATTAAAATTCACGTGTTGCTCTTTCTATTCTTCGGACTCTCGCCTTGGGGTGTGTGTGTGTGTGTGGG